TATTATAGAGACATTATCTAACCATAATTCCATTAAGTTCAAACTAAAAAAAGAAAACTTATAAAATAACATTTTATCTTGTTTAAAAAGCTTTTTTTGTGTTCTTCTGGGAACTAAACTATGACAACAGATTATTTAAGTAAAAAAATAAGTTATCTTTTAAGTGAAAGAAGACACTTCATATATTTAAATTCAATAGTTACAAAAATATTTTAAAGTAAAAAAACCTTTTTTTCATTGTTTTTATTTAAATAATGCTTAATATGATGATGAATTCTGTTGTCAGAGTAACACAGACATGTACTGCTTCACCATCTCTTTTTGTGTATTTTTATAAGCTAGATGCAAATTGTTTGACTTGGTTTTAAATAAAACTTGGTCATTTAGTATTCAATTTAAAAAAAGGTATTGAATCCTCACTCTGTAGCAAACACTACACCACACACTGATGAAAATAACATGAACAAAGCTTTGACTTTCAAGAAGCATATCGTCTTCTTGCAGCAATTATACCAGAAATAATAACAATGCAATAATAATATAGTAACAATAATTTTTAGTAGATCCTATGATGAATGAAAATCTATAGTATTATGAAATTATATAGACTAGGCACCAAATAAGTATGCTGAATAATAAAGTGCTTTTGTCAGCAACATTTAAATAAACATTGGTAGAAAATAGAGTATGAGTAATAACTTCTATATATAAAACATGTTCCCTGTCTCTTCCTTTTTTACAGATAACTTACCAAGCAGAAAGAGGAATACAAAACACTAGTATAGACAGGTTGTGTGTGTGTGTGGGGGGGGGGGGGGGATGGGAGTCAGTTCTTTCTCTCACCAGTATTTCTTTTTTTCTACAATGATTCCTCTTACAGTGCCCTTGTAGTGTATTTACATATATATTCTACCCAAAGTATAACAACCTGTCACTTCTACAAGTTGGACTGAAATACAAGTCAAATGAATGAAGTTTTCAGTTTTTTGTTTTGGTTTGTATTTGTTTTTAAGGGTGAACTCAATGTGGGCATCAAGGGGGCTGCTTTCGATGCATTGGACCTATTGGTGAAAGGTTTCACCAATGTCACTTTAACTGTCTTGCAGAACATTTCAGATTATTTTTAAAATGTATCTTTCTAAATTTAATTCTGAAATCTTTTTAGGTCAGAGAGAGTGATGGACATCATTTCTTTAATTATAGATAGCACTGTTTCCTGGACCCAGGAAATGACTTGGATATCAAAAGCATCTTCAGTACAAAGTTCAGCATTTCTGTCTGTTTCTTTCTGTACATTTTTAAAGCTGATTTCTGGGCTTCAAGAATAAGATAAAAATATGTCAAGACAACAAAATACTGAAAAGGAAACTGAAATAAACTTTAGGTTACCTAACTGAGCTAATATTTGTAAGACTCACTCATTCCTATATAATAAAAATGTTTTCTATGTTTTTCTTTTCAAATAGATTTCTAACTTGAGATACAGTTTGTACTGCCAATCACTAATATGATATTGGTCAACACTTTTCATTTTAACATTGTCAGTAAAATAATTGTAACCGAATCTGTGTCCTGAAAGCTGAAAAGAATACTTCAAAGAGCAATGACTGGTAGAACCTCATTGCAAAGATATTGTAAATAACAAGAGAAATTTAACCTCCCCGAATTTTAATTTTAAGGGACTAGTCAACAAAAACATTGTATAACAGATGTTTCCATGTGCCAGCTTAAAAAGGAGACATAATTTGGCAGGGGCCTCTCAAAAATACAACTATTTTTACTAAGTTTCATTTTGTAATTACTTTCCCAACCCATTGCATTAATTCACAATGATGTGTTCGTTCTATTGGGTAAGTTCAGGACCATGTTATCACAGAATAACAAGGAATAAAGGGTAACTAAATGGACTATGAGCGAGCAAAGGCAAATAGGACTTCATGACCTAATATTCTATAGAGAAAAAAAAGTGGCACATAGAAGTGAACTGTATATTTGTTGCCTCTCTAATGTGCAAACATTTCTGTATCTATAATCTTCCTAGTAAGAGTGGCTAAACAGCATAAAAAATGTAGTGGGGTTGTTGGAAGTCTGACATTGCGAGAGAAAGAGAATTTCAGTGTAAGAACCTCTGAAAGGAAGGACAGTGGTAAACACCATAAATTGTCTATTGAAGCCCTTAAAGGATTATATCACATCCGTGACGGCCAATAAAAAATACTGGTCTTAAAAAATATTGAAATACACTGAGGACTAATCTCTTACTTGAGGATATCTGACTACTATTACATATAGAGAGGGCCAAAGTAGGTTTACAGCGGTTTGATTGGAAAATAATACACTAATTAATGAATAATAGTACAAGAATAACCTCTGTGTTTTGTGTACTCACAACCATAAACCTAATTTTGCCCCATTCTATATGCCTGTTTGAGCATAGGGTCAGTGTTAGATCCAGAGCTTCTGGCAATACAACCAGAATCGTACAGGACACAGATTTAAGAGTTATCATGTATCGACTTTAAAATAACTATGACAAACATTTTTAACAAAATAGAAGAAAATTTTTACCAGAAAACAAGGAGTAAAAGGTTATATATAAATAATATGAAAATCATATAAATCCTAGAAGTTATAAATAACATAATTGAAATACATTAACAAAATATATATATATATATTTATTTTAGAGAGGGAGAGAGACAGAAAGAGAAATATTGATGAGAGAGAAACACCATTTTGATTGGTTACCTCCTGCATACCTCCTACTAGAGACTGAGTCCGAAATCTGGGCATGTGCCCTGATCAGGAATCGAACCAGCAAACTCTCAGTGCATGAGATGATGCTCAAACAACTGAGCCACACTGGCCAGGTCAACAAAATACTTTAAACTGCTAAAGAGGATACTAGTTTACTGAAAAATTGATAGGTAGACTAAAGCAAGAAGGGGAAAAAGAAAGTGAAAAGTCCTTGAAAGATATATAAAACATGGATCAAGCTCTTCTATCTGTCAATTGGAGTTCCAAAAGCAGAATGGGGGCAGAAAGAGTATTTAAGAAAATAACTGTAGAGTTTTCAAAACTGATGAACGATATTAAATCAGAGACCCAAAATGTGCTATGACCCTACAATAAAGAAGATAAATACAAAGAAAATCTTGCTTGGATGTTGCAATATAATTACTGAAAACAAAAGCCAAGATAAAATGCTGGAAGTTGCCAGAGAAAAAGATTAATGACTTACAAAGGAGCAACAGTAAGATTGACATATAACTTTTCAACATCACTGATGAAATTAAAATATGCTGAATGGCATTATTAACGTGGTTAAAACATATAACTGTACACCTAGAATTTTATACACATTGAATATATTCCTTAAGATTAAAAATGAACTAAATGCAGGAAGAATTAAGAGCAATGAAAATGATAATTCTATAGATATTAAAGAGATCAAGATTATATTCTGAACTACTTTCCATCAGCAATTTAAAATAAGTGGGAAATATACTACTAAAAGATAACTTAACAAAAACGTCACAAGAAAAAATGGAAATTGGGTTAGATATAAAAATTAAATGTGTAATAAATATTTTTCTGGAATTTATTTCCCACCCTATGTCACATAATTGTTTTAAAAATATATGTAGAATACTACCTGCTTTTTGCTCATCGGGTCAAATCAGGTTAATATAAAAGTAATGGACTGCCCGGCTGGTGTGGCTCAGTGGTTGAGCATCAACCCATGCACCAAGAGGTTACCAGTTTGATTCCTGATCAGGGCACATGCCCAAGTTGGGGCCCAAATCCCCAACGGGAGCATGCAGGAGGTGGCCAATTGATGTTCTCCCTCCTGATGTTTCTGCCTTGCTCTCCCTCTCCCTTCCTTTCTCTCTAAAATCAACAAAATAAACAAATAAATAAATAGATAAATAAATAAATAAATGTAATGGACCAAGATGTTATTCTGTGAAAGGAAAGGTGTAGAAGGTGTCTGTGGACTAGATTACAACCTAGAGCTGGAGAATTGAGGTACTGCTAAGGTAGGACAGTGAAAGTATATTGCTAGCCTTGCCAGCTGAACATGAACTGCTTTAAGTGGCCTTTTTATTTTATTATTTTTTAATTTGTTTTTTTATTTATTGGTTTTCTTTTTTAGAGAGAAAGAAGGGAGAGAGAGATAAAAACATCAATGAGAGAGAACACTGATTGGCCGCCTCCTGCATGTCCCATACTGGGGACTTGGCCCACAACCTGGGCATGTGCCCTGACTGGGCATCAAACTGGCAACCTCTTGGTGCATGGGTTGATGCTCAATCACTGAGCCACACCAGCAGGGCTTGGTGGCCTTTTTAATGTTGTATAGAGAAAAAGTATTCCCAAGATCAATAAGCAAGTGTCATGAGATATATTGACCTGCTCCAGTAATCAAGCCATACCGGGAACAAAAACTTCAGTAGGAGTCACCACTTGATCAAGTTTACAATAAGCCACTGTCATTTTCTAAGATCCAGTTGTCTTCTGCAAAGGCCAACATAGGTGAGTTGAATCAGAATGTGATGGGAATCATCACTTCTGCCTCTAACAAATTCTTGATAGTGACATTAATCTCCATAATCCTTCTAATAAAATTATGTTATTTTTAGTTCACCTGTTTCCTGGATAGAAACAGTTCTAATGGCTCTCTTTGAGCCTTTCCTGTAGGGACTAGAGTGAGGCAAGCAGAACACCTAGAGACAAATTTTAAGGAGACATCCACTCCTAGAGTGGTGCATATTTCTCCTTGAATACCGTGCCCAATACCTTTCACTTGCCTTTCTCTTGTCCTGGCCCTGCATAAAGTCTTTCTTCCATGGCCCAGATGACCAGTGTGTGGATTCTGCCAGTTGTGAAGGATGTTTATTTCAGGTAGGCATTTTGTAGCTGTGGAAATATCACAGGTGGATTCTAAGGACCAATTATTTCAATGTGAGAGAGACCTGAGTCAAAATTACATTGCTCACCTGATCTCCACAATGCCCTGTTCTGACCTGCGGACCATTAACCATTTGGATCTCCATAATTAGTGGCAGTTCAAAGTCCATGCGCAGAAACCCTCAACAGGTGGATTATTTTCTCTTCCCCAAAGTGCCAGAGTAAAGCACCCCCTTGGAAAATGGATGCGAGTACATTTCTGAAATCCTAGGAGGAAGATAATATAAATGGTTGGTGGTGTGGAAAGTTCTTTTCTCAAGGAGACACAGCCTTCTCTTCAATCAAGAGGCTTTGGGTCTGTGAACTGATTTGTCTGGGAAGTCAGGGCTGTGATTCTATGTTTTGATAAATCAAGTGAGATCCCTTTTTATTGGACCTAGACATTTTCTGCTTATGAAGATCAAATAAGGCTGCTACCGACTAGCATTCCACTTCAGTTCTTCATACACCATGATCAGTTAGCCAACACCAACACCTCCGTGAATCCAGGCACTATCTTTCACTCCTTTGAATCATATCCATTACAGTAACCATGTCCACTGTAAGTGTAGGGATTACAACCACTGGTCCCTTTCACCTAGTGATCCTATAAATAATAATTATAAGTAATAATAGTTATTAACTGTACTAAAATGTAAATGCCTAATTAAAGCTTTAATGTTAACAGCCATAGGTCACGGTTCCTTTCTTTCATTCATGCCACACGTCGGAATTTGTCTGCACAGAAAATACAGAAGAAATACCACATGCTTAATATTTAAGCAAAGGTTCACCAATCTATCAGCCTGGAAAAGTTTGATTCATCCTTTTGAAAAGCTTCAATGAGAAATCCTTTGGGAAGCAAGCCTGTTTTAGTGTCTTACTTCAAATAAAACAACTAGCACGAATGTACTGCTCTGTTGACTTCCAGTAATCCTTGAGTGACTTCATTTTAATTGTAGATAAAAACGTGCATTTCCCCATATAACAATAATGTTTGTTTTATTGTATAGTTTCAAAAAGAATTGGTCTAATAAGTTACATTGCATGCATCCACATGCTTAAAACAATAAAGCTGCATACAGTTTACAGAAAGTGACCACCTTTACTGAAGTTTAAGTACACATGAATACCTACCTTTTTATAAGTATAACCTTTCCATAGTTAAATTATGGAAGCACAGAAATGTTAATGGCTGCAACTTTAATGAAACATATGGAATGTTTTCCTTGGAGTGAAATTTTCTACCAAAGCTTTTTTACTGCCAACTCTTTTTTTTTATGATTTAATATTTGTCAGCATATTATTAAATGAATATTTTATTAAAATGAGTTACGTAAAAAACTCTTCACTGAATCTCTTACCTTTAAGACTCTCCTAATAAAGTGTACCAGTCAAGTATTTAAAATAACATATTCTGGAACTGTGTGAAAATATTAAACCACATATATTTATATTCTAAATGCCTCATGTTTTCATTTACACACTAAATATATTACACATAATATTGTACACAAGTATATTATTGAGAAATTATGTGTGAAAAAATTTAATAACTTTCATCATAGTTATTTATAACTTCAAAGTAGTCAAAACACTGGCATCATATAAACAAATCTTTCTTTTGATAATAATGTCTTTATCAATAAATCCTTTAATGCAGTTCATTTATTCACAAAATTAAGTGCTACATGGGTTTTACTCCCTTCAAACATTTGTTTAATGTTACTGAGGCATAGCTCTACGTAAGACTTTGTGTTTAACACTACCCCTATCTTAAAAAAAGAAAAAAATATATTCTACAATGTATTTTATATGTTATATAATGTATTCTATTACAAAACATCTCATACATTATATAATAAATGTATTATGAATTATATCTATCTATATCTATATATGAAATAATAGATCTTGAAAGAGAGAAAGAACTAAAGGAAGAAAGGAAATAAGAAAGGTGGGCAGGAGGAAGAAATAAAAAGTAGAAAGAAAACTGTAATATTTATTTGTATAGAATAGAATTAAATTCTGAAGATGCTTTCTATATTGTTTTCTCAACTTTTATCCCAAACTCCTAAATTATAGGGGTATGCAATTTTTTCTAGTACATACAATTAAAAAGAAAAAATCAATGTGAAGGTATAAGTTTAAATTCTAAAATAAAGGATTTTGAAACCATTTAAGAAAAAGTTCAAAAAAGTTTATTCAATGATAATATATATATTGAACAAAATAATGAAATAGAATACCATGAATCTACACACTTAACCATAAATTTGCTCCCTCAGTGAAATAAACATATTGCAGTCAAAATGTAATACAAATAAAACATCTCAGCTATAACATAAAACTGATCTGTGTATTTTGTTTTTATTTTTTATTCATTTATTTATTTATTTTTTAATTATTTATTTATTTTTTTATCCTCACCCGAGGATATTTTTCCATTTTTTGTACAGATAGAGTGGGAGAGAGAGAGAGGAATGGAGAGAAAGAGAGAAACATCGACGTGAAGGGACACATCGAGTGGCTGCCACCCGCACGACCAACCAGGGCCGGGGACAAACTGCAACCGTGGTACGTGCCCTTAGCGGGAACCGAACCCGGGTCTCTCCGGACCGCAGGCCGACACTAACCGCTGAGCCAAACTGGCCAGGGCTGATCTGTGTATTTTGAATTGTTGGAAAAAAATCCCTGAACCTGTTTCCAGATCAATGGCCATATTAGCAGTTGTTTTGTTTACTCTAGCATCACATCAAATTATGTGAAAAAAATTTACATATATAAAATGTTTTTAATTCACATGGGTTCTATCTGCTCTTAAATTTTTCATTCTATGTCCTAAGCCTAATCTGACCCTACAATCCTCTGTACCTCATCCCCAGAAGCAACCTGTGTCAAGTGCTTTAACCTTCAATTCATTGAGGTATAATTTACAGACAAACACACCCACTTTAGAGGGTAGGCTAACAGCATTGAAGTTCATTTGACCGAGTTGCAGGCACGGTTTTCTGTTTCTGCATGCCTCTGAGCAGAGGCAGTGAGTTGCTTTGTTCCAGACTATTTTTACAAAGCTAGTTCCATAGCAAACAGTACTAGAAAATTAGAGAGCGTGTATCACTCTGACCGTATGTGATCTAGTATAATAAAAGTAATCACACTGTGGGAAAAGGTGAGGCTGATTAACTACCTATAGAAAAGAGTCATTTTCCCAAAGCATAGGTTTCTCTCCTTTAAATCAACCCCCTGCGTGTGCAGGCCTCACCCCGTGGAAATGGAGCATGTAAGAACAGGCACAAATACAGAAATTCTGACTACTGCTGTAATGTGATTAATAAACTGTCTTGTCTCTGACCCAAGTTTTCTGGTTGTTACTCTCATTTAGGAAAATGTGGCAGGCTAACCTGTCAGTGAGAAAGTAGTAAAATCTCTTATACTTCACTGTGCTTGACAACTATAAGTGCCTCTATATTTCAAGGCTGTTTTTTTCAACTGTTCCTTAAAATGCCGATGCATTGCTAATCATGTTAGTTAGTGACTAACGCTAAAACCCTGCACTCTGACCCAGTCATAAATTCTTTGTCTTTCCTTATGTTTATTCTCAGCAAATAACCTTACCATCTAGTTTTAGAAAATGTAAGTCATTTAGAGAAAGATTCATTTAGCATTCCGCCACTAAATTAACCCAATTTTTCTGCTCTCCTCATTTTTCTTTCCCCCCACGTTCAGTTGAAAGGAATGTTCCATTTTCTGTGTCTTTCTGTTCTTCTCCCCGCTCTTTCTCAAAAGCATTTTCATGGTTTGTAGGACTCCCTGGCCATTTAAAACAACAGAACAGAACCGGAAAGTGATTAATCAACATTAACATTAACCAAAAATTCCTTTCCTGCACTTCTCATTCTAGCTACAATCATTACATATAGAATTCACCTTCATACATATATTATTTTAAAAGGCTGCTTGCCCTGGCCTGTTTGGCTCAGCGGTTAGAGCGTCGGCCTGCGGTCCTGAGAAACCCGGGTTCGGTTCCCACTAAGGGTATGTACCTCGGTTGCAGTTTGTCTTCGGCCCTGGTCGGTTGTGCGGGTGGCAGCCACTCGATGTGTTCCTTTCACATCGATGTTTCTCTCTCTCTCTCTCTGTTCCTCTCTCTCCGTCCCACTCTACCTGAACAAAAAATGGAAAAATGTCCTCGGGTGAGGATTAAATAAATAAATAAATAAAAGTCTGCTTAATTTGCTTTCTGATTTATATTATTTTTTAATAATTCTACCCTCATCATTCTAACAAATCTTCCTTATTATTATGAGTAACTTTTACGATCATATGACCAAGTCATGTACCATAATTTAAAAATTTTATTTCCAGTAAACTTTGACCACTTAAATGTTGAGCATTCCTTCTTGAGACACTTTCTATTTTTGTCTTCTTGACATTGTACCATCCTGGTATTTCTGCTATCTCACTGACTGTCTTTTTCATTCAATTAGGTCATTTTTTCATCTTCATCTACTCAAGCATTTAACATGAAGGACTTCAAAGCATAATTACATAGCCTCATCACTCAAACTCCCCTTATTGGATGATGTCATCTACTATCATGGTTTCGTGTTACGCTCTGACAGCAATGTAACTTTCATATATTTTAGATAGAGACCTATTGTTGGATATAGGGATCGCAAATATTTTCTGCTAATCTGTAACTTGTCTTTTCATCTTCTTCACAGGGTCTTTTACACTTAAAAAGTTTTAAATTTTGATGAAGTACAAATTTTCAATTTTCTATTTATCCACCATATGTTTTTAAGTGTCAAGTCTAACCACATTTAGCTGGCTGTAAGTCCTAGAGATTGTCTCTGAGGTTTTCTCTCTGAAATGTATTGTTTTATATTTCATCTCAGTGAGACTGAACGTGACAGAGTGAGTTAGGGCTACACAACGTCTCCCTCGCCCTCCATTTCTACAGAACTGCAAGCTCAGACGCTCCAGCGACCTGGCAGTTCTGAGTTCTCCTCTCCTTCCCCCGTTGCACTGGTGTCAGTGAGATCCAGTGGCAAGCTGATACTGTACCCATTTGCAGGCAATGAGTTGGTGCAGGTTGGTATTTTACACTTTTTTTTTTTTGAAAAGT